CAAATCAAAAACTAAATAGGTTGCATATGTTGAGTTCTGATTTCTTTGAGGGGTCTCGGGTGAAAAGCTGGCCTTTGAGGATCTTCAACAGTTACAAAGAAGTGATTTCAAGTGGGACGTATTCTTTTTTTTAGTTTTTAATTTTTTGGACTATAAGACACTGGACACTTTTGGATATAGTGTGTATGATTATATGTGTTTGGACACTTATCATTTGAAAAGACGTGTTAATTATATTTTTTGAATAGGGGATTTTTCCATAGTGGTGGGTTGGATGATTCTTTTTAGAGCAAATTTTTTGATATTTACAACTTTCTAGGGTGGAAAGTTATTTTCTATTTAGAATTGTGTGGGTCGTTGGGGGTACTTTGAGGCTTCTACCACATTTATTTTGATATACTGCATTTATGATCACGTTTAGAGTTGAGCGAAATTATTCAAAAAATTCGATTCGAATGTTTCGGCGAATTGGGTTGAAAAAATTTCGATCGAGTCAAATATATTTCGCTGGAAATTTAACTTATAAAAAAAGGGTGTTTCTAGGCTTCAGAGAGAGCTTTATATATTAGTGCAGAACATCTGTACCTTTATTTAAAATGCCCTTGGAGTCTGCCGATGAGACAGCAGCAATGGGAGGCCGTACAGGGACCCATGACACACTCTGGACCTTGGCAGCAGCATGAGGGGAGTGGTACAGGGGCCCCATGACAGATTAAGGGCCTGGCAGCAGCATGAGGAGTTGTACGGGGGCCCATGGCAGATTACGGGCCATGGCAGCAGCAATGGGAGGCCGTAATGTACAGGGACCCATGACACACTCTGGACCTGGCAGCAGCTGAGGAGAGGTGGCGGTACAGGGGCCCATGACAGATTACGGCGGCCTGGCAGCAGCATGAGGAGTCCGTTACGGGGCCCATGACACACTCTGGACCTGGCAGCAGCATGAGGAGGCGGTACAGGGGCCATGACAGATCAGATTACGAGCCTGGCAGCAGCAACTTGGACAGGAGGACGTTCACGCTTCTGGCAGCGTCGGGGGAGTGCCTGCCAACTGTATGTCTCTTGGAAACCTAGCAGTGATGAGGAGACCTGAAAGTGGCACATGCAGAGTGTTTTGCGGAATCCGTGAATGAGGAGTAGCAGGGAAGGAGAGCATCTGAACGAGCTGGAATATGCCAACAGCGACACAGGGCCCATGACAGATTACGGGCCTGGCAGCAGCATGAGGAGTCGGTACGGGGGCCCATGGCAGATTACGGGCCTGGCAGCAGCAATGGGAGGCCATAATCTGCCAGCACCCTATGACAAAAAATGGAAACCCACCAGCAGTGTGAGGAGACCTGAAAGTGGCACATGGCAGAGAGTGTGGCGATGGAGACAGCAGCAATGGGAGGCGTACAGGGACCCATGAGACACTCTGGACCTGGCAGCAGCATGAGGAGGCGGTACAGGGGCCCATGGCAGATTACGGGCCTGGCAGCAGCAATGGGAGGCCCGTAATCTGCCAGCACCCTATGACAAAATGGAACCCTGGGCTGGGGCAGCAGTGTGAGGATCTTTATCTAGTGGTTTTCCAGGCAGACCGAATGGCGACGCAGCAGCATGCTGGGGCAGGCGTAGTAACATGGGCCCCCTGACCACGCTTGACTTTCTGGCAGCCACAGGAGTCGGTACAGGGGCCCATGGCAGATCCTACGGGCGGCTGACAAAGCAATGGGAGGCCGTAGGAAACTTTTGCCCCCGCTACCCTATGACAAAAAACTGCTACTTCCAGCTGTGCAAGACCTGCACCACTACTGGCAGAGTGTAGGCTGCAAGTGGAGCTGGTGCAGCACTCCGTGGCCGTTTGCAGGGACACTGCTGCGACCCTTGCTGGACCTGGCAGCAGCAATGGGAGAGGAGGCGGCTGGTACAGGGGCCCATGGCAGATTAGGGGCCTGGCAGCAGCAATGGGAGGCCCGTAATCTGCCAGCACCCTATGACAAAAAATGGAACACACCAGCAGTGTGTGAGGAGACCTGAAAGTGGCACATGGCAGAGTGTGGCGATGGAGACAGCAGCAATGGGAGGCCGTACAGGGACCCATGAGAGACTCTGGGACCTGGCAGCAGCATGAGGAGGCGGTACAGGGGGCCCATGGCAGATTAGGGGCCTGGCAGCAGCAATGGGAGGCCCGTAATCTGCCAGCACCCTATGACAAAATGGAACACACCAGCAGCAGTGTGAGGAGACCTGAAAGTGGCACATGGCAGAGTGTGGCGATGGAGACAGCAGCAATGGGAGGCCGTACAGGGACCCATGAGACACTGTGGACCTGGCAGCAGCATGAGGAGGCGGTACAGGGGCCCATGGCAGATTACGGGGCCTGGCAGCAGCAATGGGAGGCCCGTAATCTGCCAGCACTCTATGACAAAATGGAACACACCAGCAGTGTGAGGAGACCTGAAAGTGGCACATGGCATGACACACTGTGGACCTGGGATCCCAGCAGCATGAGGAGGCGGGGGAATACAGGGGCCCATGGCAGATTAGGGGCCTGGCAGCAGCTATGGGAGGCCCGTAATCTGCCAGCACCCTATGACAAAAAATGGAACACACCAGCAGTGTGAGGAGACCTGAAAAGTGGCACATGGCAGAGTGTGGCGATGGAGACAGCAGCAATGGGAGGCCGTACAGGGACCCATGAGAGAACTCTGGACCTGGCAGCAGCATGAGGAGGCGGTACAGGGGGCCCATGGCAGATTAGGGGCCTGGCAGCAGCAATGGGAGGCCCGTAATCTGCCAGCACCCTATGACAAAAAATGGAACACACCAGCAGTGTGAGGAGACCTGAAAGTGGCACATGGCAGAGTGTGGCGATGGAGACAGCAGCAATGGGAGGCCGTACAGGGACCCATGAGAGACTCTGGACCTGGCAGCAGCATGAGGAGGCGGTACAGGGGGCCCATGGCAGATTAGGGGCCTGGCAGCAGCAATGGGAGGCCCGTAATCTGCCAGCACTCTATGGAAAAAAATGGAACACACACACCAGCAGTGTGTGAGGAGACCTGAAAGTGGCACATGGCATGAGTACACTGTGGACCTGGCAGCAGCATGAGGAGGCGGTACAGGGGCCCATGGCAGATTAGGGGCCTGGCAGCATGCAGCTATGGGAGGCCCGTAATCTGCCAGCACCCTAATGACAAAAACAAAATGGAACACACCAGCAGTGTGAGGAGACCTGAAAGTGGCACATGGCAGAGTGTGGCGATGGAGACAGCAGCAATGGGAGGCCGTACAGGGACCCATGAGAGACTGTGGACCTGGCAGCAGCATGAGGAGGCGGTACAGGGGCCCATGGCAGATTAGGGGCCTGGCAGCAGCAATGGGAGGCCCGTAATCTGCCAGCACCCTATGACAAAAAATGGAACACACCAGCAGTGTGTGAGGAGACCTGAAAGTGGCACATGGCAGAGTGTGGCGATGGAGAGACAGCAGCAATGGGAGGCCGTACAGGGACCCATGAGAGACTCTGGGACCTGGCAGCAGCATGAGGAGGCGGTACAGGGGCCCATGGCAGATTAGGGGCCTGGCAGCAGCAGCAGCAATGGAGGCCCGTAATCTGCCAGCACCCTATGACAAAAAATGGAACACACCAGCAGTGTGAGGAGACCTGAAAGTGGCACATGGCAGAGTGTGGCGATGGAGACAGCAGCAATGGGAGGCCGTACAGGGGACCCATGAGAGACTCTGGACCTGGCAGCAGCATGAGGAGGCGGTACAGGGGCCCATGGCAGATTAGGGGCCTGGCAGCAGCAATGGGAGCTGAAAGTAATCTGCCAGCACTCTATGGACAAAACAAAAATGGAGACACACCAGCAGTGTGAGGAGACCTGAAAGTGGCACATGGCACAGAGTTTGGCGATGAGACAGCAGCACTGTGGACCTGGCAGCAGCATGAGGAGGCGGAGGCGGTACAGGGGCCCATGGCAGATTAGGGGCCTGGCAGCAGCAATGGGAGGCCCGTAATCTGCCAGCACCCTATGACAAAAAATGGAACACACCAGCAGTGTGAGGAGACCTGAAAGTGGCACATGGCAGAGTGTGGCGATGGAGACAGCAGCAATGGGAGGCCGTACAGGGACCCATGAGACACTGTGGACCTGGCAGCAGCATGAGGAGGCGGTACAGGGGCCCATGGCAGATTAGGGGCCTGGCAGCAGCAATGGGAGGCCCGTAATCTGCCAGCACCCTATGACAAAAAATGGAACACACCAGCAGCATGTGTGAGGAGACCTGAAAGTGGCACATGGCAGAGTGTGGCCATGATGGAGACAGCAGCAATGGGAGGCCGTACAGGGGCACCCATGAGAGACTCTGGACCTGGCAGCAGCATGAGGAGGCGGTACAGGGGCCCATGGCAGATTACGGGCCTGGCAGCAGCAATGGGAGGCCCGTAATCTGCCAGCACCCTATGACAAAAAATGGAACACACCAGCAGTGTGTGAGGAGACCTGAAAGTGGCACATGGCAGAGTGTGGCGATGGAGACAGCAGCAATGGGAGGCCGTACAGGGACCCATGAGAGACTGTGGACCTGGCAGCAGCATGAGGAGGCGGTACAGGGGCCCATGGCAGATTAGGGGCCTGGCAGCAGCAATGGGAGGCCCGTAATCTGCCAGCACCCTATGACAAAATGGAACACAAGCACCCTATGACAAAAAATGGGAACACACAGCAGTGTGTGAGGAGGCCGTGAAAGTGGCACATGCAGAGTGTGTGCGAATGGAGACCAGCAGCCGAGAGGCCGTACAGGGGACCATGAGGAGACTCTGGACCTGGCAGCAGCATGAGGAGGCGGTACAGGGGCCCACGGCAGATTATACAGGTCAAGTTTCGTTGCCCAGTAGTCAAGGGGATTGTCTACCTCGGTTGGCAGGGTGCTGTCCAAGTAGGCCCAAGCCTGTTGTTTGAGGTCCTGCTCCAGGTCCACCTGATGCTGCTGCTGCTGCGGCTGGTTAGTAGTTTCCTCACTGCGCTGGTGAAGAAGCTACTCATCATCGACTGCAGACTGAGGCGAGCCGCTGCTGGTGGAGCTGCCACTGCTCCTACCACCCCACCCTCCCTGCTGCCATGGCAGCGGAACGCGAGCGCACAGGGCCACAGTGTCTGAGGATGGACGTTGGCGCACAAAGGCAGAGACCAACTGACTACATAGGTGGTTTTTATAGTACGTTATTTTGGCCTCCCTCTCAGCAGGTGTGAAAAAGGCCACCATTTTTGAACGGTTAGCGAGGGTCCAACAAGGTGGACAGCAAAGTCATCCCTCTGTCTGATGGTTATTATTCGGCTGTCGCTACGCAAGCAACGGCAGTATGGGCCATTT